GAGTAGTTTAAGTTGCAAGCATAGGTAAGTGAGCACATAGCTAGCGTGAATAATTCTCAGTATTAATATTGCCTATAGTCTAAGCATTTCGACACATAATTGTATTCTTCATACTTCTCTAAATTTTCAAGAATGGTACATTACATCACATTGAGGCACATCCTTCACGTATATGTGTAGATAATTGCAAATCAATTAATGCGCAATAATAATCAATACATTAACCAATTCAAATCTTACCACACTTTCATAAACGCCCACAGAGCTCAATTTCTAATAAAAGGGGGTTTTAGCCATACATACCTCTATATAGCTTCCCTTACTCTTTACAAATTTCCAGAACTCTTATAGCTTCGATTTCTTGGGATGAAGATTTAGGAGCCTTCACTTGATTATCTTCAAGGATTTAGCAAGATTCTATGGAGTAATTTGATGGGGAGAACTTTCTCTCACTTAGACCCCTCTCCCTCACTCTAGAAATATCCAGAAAAAATGTTCAAAACGAGCTATAATACCGAATATAATGATAGGGGCGTCAGGTTAAAAATTAGAAAATTGGAGCCCCGAGTCGGATCTGCGATCGCATTTGCGATCGCAAAGTGGAAATGCGGGCCGCAGATTGGACCGCAAAAAGGCTCCCAAAAACTGAACATTCTGCTTGGGTATGCGACGGTAATGCGGTCCGCATACCCGTTCTGCGGTCGCATTATGCACCGCAGAATTGACCTTCACAAAATCCCAAGGGAATTATGCGATGACTATGCGGTCCGCATATTGGTTATGCAATCGCATAATGGACCACATTTTCAACCTCAAATTAGCTAACACACTGACTCACTCTGCGGCAGAAATGCGGTCCGCATACCTGGTATGCGACCGCATTCTAGACCGCATATTTGCACTTTTTCTGGAAAACTTTTATTCTTGGTTTTTAAATTCATAGATCAGCTAAAAGGGTCCGCTCGCCGCGAAGAATTTTTGTGAGTTTTTATCACCTGACCCTAACTAGGCACTACGAGGTTCGGGTTTTGAGTAGAAAAATTCACGGGGCCTTACACAAACAGCCACACGTGGAGACTGTTACATTTTTTAGAAAAGGGGTTGTATTTGCAAGTTATGGAGCTAGCCAGAATTTGGACAAAAATGGCTACATATGTAATATGTATAATTCGAATTGGGCTTGGAAAGGCTACAGGGATTTGGACATATTTGGGCTATCTTTTGGCTACATTTACAAGGGCAAATAAGATGGATTGGGCTGCTAAGGAAAGGACTGTTGCATGGGCTTCATGGGCTAGTTTTTACTATACAAAGTTTATTAGTTTTATTGTGATATCAACTTTGAGTGCATTACTCAATTTTGATAATAGGGCATATGTATTGTACAAAGATTATTACTTTCATTTCGTAGGACCTCAGCACAACTTTGTTGTTTTTCTTCTTTTAATATAAATAAAAACTAGCCCTAGGCTCTGCCTAGTGGTTTGCTAAAAAAAGCTAAGCTTTAAAAACGCGTCTGAGCTCTAGAGAGAGAGGCTCTAGCGACAAAACAGGCGACTAGAGAGAGAAAGCTCCATTTCTCGCTGCCATGGCCAATCCGGCCGGCGGCCAGCCACCGACGACAGCTGGGCTGCCTCCCCAACACCCCCCCCATCAATTCCCAGCCATCAACGTCCATAGAAAACATCCAAAAACCCATGGATTATGCAAAAGATGTGAAGCCCACGTCGCAAAACACTGCCATGCATGATCGTGCCTCATCAGTTGAACCTCAATTCTTTCAAGGACAGCCAACTGTTTGTTTCACTGAAGCTGAAGTTGAAAGAATGAACGTAATAGAAGGGCTGCAATATGCAGTCGTTTGCAAGTTTTCGTATGGTTGGCCTGAGCTTTATGAATTACGTCGCATTGTCCCAATTCAATGTGGAATTAAAGGTGAGTGTAATATTAGATATTTACGTGAGAGACATGTATTGATTTGGATGTCATTATGGCAAGATTTTGTTGATTTCTCTTCGAAAGGTGTATACTATATCAAAGATAAGTTTGGGGAGGAATACCAGTTAAGAACATTGATCTATGGTGCCAAATTTAAGGTAGGAGAAGAGACACCTAAGGTAATGGCTTGGATTTCATTCCCAAATCTGTTACCAACATATTTTGTTAAGGAGTGTTTGTTTTCCTTAGCGTCCGCAGTAGGAAAACCTTTATATCTTGATCAAGCCACTATTAACAAAACTAGACCTAGTTGTGCTCGTGTTAAGGTCTTGATTGATCTCCTAGCTGATCATCCTAAAAAAGTTCGAATGGATATTGCTAATGAAGCTGCTTGTGAAGTGAGAACTGAATGGGTAACTATCAACTATGATTATTTACCTAAGTATTGTAAGGACTGTAAGCTTCAAGGGCATGATATGATGGAATGTTGGAGAATTCATCCAGAGCTTATGGCAAGTAAGAATGAAGAAAAACAGGATGCTAATGAAGCTGTGGTGCAAGGCAATAAAGATAATACTAAAAGTAATGCTCCATTGATGATTTTATCAAGTGGCAAGGTTGTAGGTAATCTGGGAGCCCAATGGAAAGAGGTAAGGGATAGGAGAGTTCAAGGGAAAGAGAAACAAAATGATACTGCTTCCAAAACTAGGCAAGAAATTGTTCCAGTTGAGAAGAAGAATGATCAGGTTCAGACCAATAATAAATTTGCAATCCTGGAGGTAGAAAATAGTGATGATAATGCAAACAAGCAGTTGGTTGTGGTAGAAGATAATAATGCTCAAAGTGGTAATAATGTAGTTAAAGGATCTGGAGTTTTGAATGCTGCAGCACCTGTCTATAATCCTAAGGCAAATGGAACTGCTCATGCAAAAGAGGGTAACAATTTAAAATCAAAAGCAACTGAAAACGGTCCCAAAAAGACATTGAATACTAGTAAGACAAATCCCGGTGGGGCACAAATACAACAGGAACAAGCAGGTACAATGGTTAATGGGAAGATGACAACGGTACAGCCTAACAAAGAATCCACCTCACAATGGGTTCATAGAGCTTTCAAAGGCAATATGGTTACAATCAATACTTCTTGTCAGGAAATTCCATTTCAAGACACTAGAGTAGAAGAACAACTGGTGAAGGCCAATGAAAAAGATCTAACAGGTGATGAAGAATTTGAGAAGTTCAAGAGTAATGAGAAGGTCAAGTGGACTGGAGGAAGATTATGGTTTAACCAAATAGAGGAAGATCCTGAGGAAGGGCAAATTCTAGATGCAGTGCAAAGTGAAGAGGAAACAGGCGGAGATACATTTGAAGAGGAAGAACACAGTGTGAATGGCAAAGCAAAGAGTTCAAGGGGCAACAAAATACAGAGCTTAACCAATAAGGAGGCAGATATCAAAGGGGAGAACAACAACAAGGAAGAACAGGATAACAAAGAGCAGGAAAATTTTGATTCAGGAGGAGATGAACAGGTCAAATATGCAGTAGGTATAACAGATGGCGTTGATGTAAATGCCATTGATCCAGGAGGGACAACACATGAATTTGTTGCAGACAAAGTGGATAAATCCAAACAAAGTGACAGTACAAAGGAAATGTTGAATGAACAGTCAGGCTTAAAAGAACAGGAGGCAGCAGGTACTGTTTCATTGAATGGATTACAAGTGCAGAACAATGAGAAAACTGAAGACACATGCTGTATTTACTACGCAACAGACTAATATTGCTGTAGTAGCAAGGGATAAAAAAGTGTAACCTCCTGTAGATCAAGAGGATAGGGATAGAGATGAGGAGTCTACTGCACAGAATTTCCAGCATATAGCTAGACAAGGGGATCTATCACAAAGGATCATGAAAAGAGTAAAATCTGCAGCCAAAGGAAGAAAGAAGCAAGTTAAAGAGATTCCCACTATACAACCTGGTGGGGTACAAACAAGGAGAATACTGTCTAAATCACAAAATCAGTAATGGATGCAACCATATGGAATGTTAGATCAGTGAACACAATGCAGGCATTTGAGAGATTGATCACAATGCATAGACATCATCATTTTGAATTTATTGGGATCATGGAACCAATGCAACAATATAGCAAGATGGAGAAATACAGAAGGAGAATTGGATTGGCACAAGCAGTAGTGAATGTTTCAAATAAAATTAGGGCCTTTGTAGATGAAGTCTTTGAGATTACAATACTGTACAACATGGTACAACAACTGACTCTGAAGCTGTACCATACTGAAACAAGGGTGGAACTCATTCTGACCTTGGTCTATGCCAAATGTGACCATGTAGAAAGAATTGAGCTGTGGGATTCTCTATATAATATGGCTAGTGATATGACAATTCCATGGTTAGTTGGTCGTGACTTCAATGTTATATGGGATGAAGAAGAGAAATTTGGAGGACTGCCAGTCTCACTGAATGAGATTGATTATTTCAGACATTGTGTAAATACCTGCAACTTATCAGATTTGGGCTTTAAGGGTAGTATCTTTACCTGGTGGAATGGGAAATCAGAGGAAGATTGCATTTTTAAAAGGCTGGATAGGTGATTGGGGAACTCAGAGCTGCAACAGACTTTCCCAGGATTGGAGGTCACACATTTGTCTAAAATAGGATTTGACCATAGTCCTATGTTGCTAAAGTGTGACATTGAAGTTCCATCTATAAAGAAAGCATTCAGATTTTTTAATTTCTGGACTAAACATGCCTCTTTTAAGGATGTGGTAAGGGAGAATTGGAGTGCAGATTTCAGTGCTAGCCGTTTCATCATGTTTAATTACAAGCTCAAGAAGTTGAAAAAAGCTTTATCTATCTGGAGTAGGTCAACTTATGGGGATATATTTTAGAAGATTTCTAGTTTAGAGGAAGTGGTTGTTGTCCATGAAAGACAATTTGGAGCTAATCCTACTCAAATGAATAGGGCAAGACTGTAGAAGGTACAAGCAGAAATGATTAAATATCTTTCTTCGGAGGAGGATTTCTGGAGATAAAAGGCTGGAATGGCATGGTTTAAAGATGGTGATAGAAATACAAAATTTTTTCATGCTCAAGTCAATGGAAGAAGGAAAAAATTGAAGCTGACTAGAATCAAAAATGGCCCTGGCAATTGGCTTGAAGAAGAAGAAGAAGAAATTGCAGATGAAGCAGTTAACTTTTATAAGGATCAGTTCTGTGAAACTGCAACCCCTACTGCATTTCATATTATAGATCATGTACCTTGCTTGGTGGATAGGGAACATAATGAAAAGCTGATCACAATGCCAACAAAAGAAGAGGTAAAACAAGCCGTGTTTGGACTTAATGATGAGTCAGTAGGTGGTCCAGATGGTTTCACTGGTGCATTCTATCAGTCTTGCTGGGAGATCATAGGTGATGATATATATGCAATGGTGTTGGATTTTTTCTGTGGACAACAACTTCCAAAGTGTGTGACTCATACCAACCTGGTGCTATTACCAAAAAAGAAAGAGGTAACCACTTTCACAGACTTGAGACCAATCAGCCTCAGTAATTTCATTAAAAAAATTTTCTCAAGGGTGATTCATGAACGACTGGTGGGACTTCTGCCGAATTTAATTTCTGAAGAGCAGGCAGGTTTTGTTAAAGGTAGAAGCATAGTGGAGAATGTTCTATTGACTCAAGAAATTGTTACAGACATTAGGCTTAGAACTAAGGCTGGGCCAAATGCTGTGATTAAACTTGACATGACAAAAGCCTATGATAGGCTGTCATGGCTCTTCTTAACAAAGGTACTGAGGAAGTTTGGATTCTGTGAAAGATTCATTGGGCTTGTATTTGATCTAGTTGGGAACAACTGTTAGTCTGTGCTTATCAATGGACAACTTCATGGTTTTTTCAAGTCATCGAGGGGTGTCAAACAAGGGGATCCCCTTTCTCCAACTTTATTCATTTTAGCTGCTGAAGCACTATCAAGAGGGCTAAACTCTTTGCACTTGAATCTGTACTTTTGTGGATATGGATTGCCAAAATGGAGCCCAAAAATTAACCATTTGGCATATGCAGATGACACCATCATCTTTACTTTATCTGATGCCACATCTCTGAGATTGGTGATGGAAATATTGCAGGCCTATGAAGTTGTTTCTGGGTAGTTGGTGAACAAAATTAAATTAGCCATCTACATGCATCATTTGACAGATGTGGAAGTAGTGAGGAAAGTAGAGAGGATCACTGGAATTGGAAGGCAAGAGTTTCCTTTTACTTATCTTGGCTGCCCTATTTTCTATGCTAGAAGGAAGCTTGATTACTATCAAGGATTGATTATTAAGGTGTTAGATAAGCTACAGTCGTGGAAAGGAAAGTTATTATCAATTGGAGGTAGAGTTGTGTTGATATCTAGTGTATTGCAAAGTATGCATGTGATTTGTTATCAACTGTAAACCCTCCAAATTTTGTCATTAACAAACATCACAAGATCTTTGCACAATTCTTCTGGAGCAGTTCAGTAGGAGGTAATAGCAGGCACTGGGCTTCATGGAACAATTTGTGTCTACCATATGAAGAAGGTGGCATTAGATTTAGATCCTTGCATGATGTGGCTAAAGCACTCTTCTGTAAGCTTTGGTGGAATTTTAGAACAAAGCCCAGCTTATGGAGCTCAATTATAAGCCAAAAATATTGTAAAAAGCTGAATGCAACAGTAGTACCATGGAAAGAAGGATCACATGTGTGGAGGAGAATGTTGGAATGTCGAGACATAATGGAACATCAAATATTATGGAAGCCAAGAATGGGATCTTCATTATTTTGGTATTATAATTGGACTGGATTAGGAGTTTTATACTTCCTAGTCCCTCAAGGTTTTGGCATAGATGAAGACATTTTTAATGTCCATGACGTGGTAGAAAATGGAGCTTGGAATGTAGAGAGGATACTGCAGGTTTTACCTAAGGAATTGGCTATGCACAGAGTGGAGAAAATCAGACCTCCAGATTAAGAGAGGGGGATAGATGAACCTTTTTGGATGTTAGAAACTAGAGGGCACTTTACTGTCAAAACAACATGGGATTACTTAAGAAGGAGAGAAGATCCTAGGATAGCTTATAGGAAGATCTGGGTAAAAGGTCTACCATTCAAGATCTCCTTTTTCATGTGGAAAGTTTGGAGAGCCAAGTTGCCTCTTGATGACTTTATGCGTAGGATTAGATATTTGATGGCATCGAGATGTTGGTGTTGTGCTCAACCTAAGGAGAAACCCTGTCATATCTGTTCTTTACATCACAGGCTGCAGTAGCAGTATGGAAATACTTTTTACCTAGAGCAAGAATTGTTCTGCAGGATCTGACTCTACACCAAGCCATTACAAAATGTTGGAATACTCCAGTAGTGCCCAGAATAAAACCAATAATGCAGGCATTACCTGCGTGTATTGTTTTGGAGCTTTGGAAAAAGAGAAACAGTTTGAAGTATGGGGAAGCAGTATCAGTGAATAGGGTAATTTATCAGGTGTCTACTGCACTGCAATCACTAGTGCAAGTGCAAAAACCAGGCTTACAAGTGCCCCATAAATGGTCCAACCTTCTATACATGTTGGAGCAATACACTCCTCGATTGAAATATGAGAAAGTACTATGGGAGTTACCTATGGAGGGTTGGATCAAGGTGAACACAGATGGAGCAAGTAGAGGAAATCCAGGAAGAAGTGCAATTGGATTCTGTCTAAGGGACCAGGCTGGAGATTTAAAATATGCACAGGGAAAGGAGATCACTGAGGGAAGTAATAATAAAGCAGAAGCAGAAGCAATAGTTGAGGCATTGAGGATCTGCAGGGCTATGAACTATAATCACATTTGGTTGCAGACTGACTCTTTGCTTCTGAAAAACATAATAGAAGGATCATGGAAGCCACCTTGGTGTATTATGGAACAAATAGAGGAGATTATGAAGCTGAAAGAAAATTTCAACAATAAGGTATCGCATATATTCAGAGAAGGGAACTCGCAAATATTCAGAGAAGGGAACTCTTTGGCTGATCATCTAGGAAATTATGCTTTAGATGTGGGGGATATTGAGTGCTTTGATTTTTGGGATGTAGATTCAAAAGGCAGGAAGATTGTGAATGATGACAAGTCTCAATGACCATATTTAAGAGTAAAAATTACAAGGAAGTAAGGTGGGCAAGGGGGATTCATAAGAAGAGGCCAGTTGGATTCAGCTCTTATGGTCATCATGCTCAAACCTTTTGTGAGGAGAACATGGTGAACTTTTCTTTCACTAACTGTGTGTTCTTTTTTGCAGGTACAAGGGCTGTACTGTTGATTTATGTGCTAATAGAATTCCATATGGTGGTATTAATGCCTAGCATTCATTCCAATGGAAGGACATTGCATATAGTTAGCAGTACAGTAGCTATGAGTAGCTTTTTCATAACAGAAACATGTAGAAAACTGCCTAGAAAATCTAAGAGAAATGGGCAGAATCAAAGGGATTTCAAAGGAAGAGGGTCTAAGAATAGTAGATCTATCATTGGTCTATGTAGAATAGAGGACCCAAATAAGCAATATAGAACTATGAAGCCCAGAAAGTCTAAGAGAAATGGGCAAAGGGGGCTGATGTCAAGAAAAGGTTGGAGGAAAATATGCTACTTCATAGGACTGCAGTCGAGAACTATAATTAGAATTACAGTCCCATGGGATACAGGGAATCAGGCAATCAAAAGCAGCAAGAACTCTCATCCAAGATCAGGCATTCTTCCTGCTCAAATCCGTATAGAGGAGAGCATGAAAATGCATTTTTCACTAACATTGTTTATTTTTTTGCAGGGAACAATACTGTGGTATCGCCTTACACTTTGATACAGCTTCAAAGGGTGGTATTAACACTTAGTGCTCGGTCCCTTGGAGAGGTATTAAGTGTAAGCAAAAGCAGGAATGTTAAAGGCAACAAACACAATCAAAGGATCACATCACAGGAAGATTTAAGCTGGTGGTCACAAGTCAGTCTCAAGGCAAACTGTAGGTGGCTACACAAATGTGGAAAAAAGGAGTAGTACATTTTTTGGTATAGAATGTTGGACTCATTGGTTATGATCGGGTCTGGAATGGAAAGTATTGTTGCTGTAGCTATGTCTCACCTCATGAGGAGCTAGCAACTGGTGGTATTAGTACAATGTACTCAGCCCAGTGCAAGTGAATCATGGGTGAGCATAACTATGGCAGCAATGAAAGAAAGGGGCAATCTTAAGGTTCAGATAACTGTACACTTTCACGTAAGTACCAGGATTTGGCCAAGATGACTAGGTAATGTAGCTGTACTGGGGATCAAAAGACAAATACAGCTTCACAGCACATTAGTTCAGGGATTAAATTTCATAAGGAGTCATGTCAGCAATATAGGAATCAATCGCGAAATAGAGTGCAAGCAATTCAAGATGGAACATATCAAGAGGTGGCAATTCACAGGGCAATTTTGGGTAGGATTTTTTGATAAACACAGAACACAAGGGACTAGGATCACAATACCTTACCACAGCAAGACAAACAATGAAGGAATTCAAGAGAGGAACTTAACAAAAAACACAAAGAAGGCAGGTAAAAATAAGAGCAAAAAGGAAACAAATGGACAATTTTGTGGACTACGCTGGGCAACAAAGATGACAAAACTGGAAAAAAGTTACAGTAGTGTTGGATACTGGGAGTATAACGGGAGTTGTTTCAGCAGTTGGACAACAATAATATCAAGGAAACATCAAGGAATAAAAGGAAGCACCATCACAGTAGAGGCAGTAAAGAGCTTGGACAAGAACAATGGCTTTGTTAGTTATATCATGACTAGTATAGGTAGTATTTAATTTGTGCTATCAATGTTGAGTTCATTACTCAATATTGGTAATAGATATAATGTAGTTTTCAAAGTTTATTATTGTCATAGGTTAAGACTACCTGACAATGCAGTTGTTTGTTGATTTCTTTATATAAATAAAACCTAGCCCTAGGCACTGCCTAGTGGATTGCTTAAAAAAAACCTAAGCTTTGATCAATATGATGACTTCATTATGTCTTTATCCAGGTCAGTTAATTATCTGCCATTAAATGGAGAAGAACACCAGCTTAGGGAGTTCCCACAGACAATTACATACAATCCTAGAGAGGAAACTTCTATGGCGGCAGTGTGGATATCGCTGCCGAACTTATCTCCAGATCTTTTTGCAAAGAGAGCTTTGTTGTCCATCGCAGCTTCTGCTGGTAAACCAATTGCTATTGATAGAGCCACACAATTAAAAATTAGACCTAGCACACCTAGGGTAAAAGTGATCCTCGATCTTTTGAACGAGCACCCAAAAAAAGTAACATTGCAATACTTGGATAAGAATTCTGGGAAAATCGTTGAAGCTGACCAGGAGATTGTTTATGATAACTTACCATTATATTGCACATGTTGCAGACGCCAAGGGCACGCCGAAAATACATGTCGGCTGATTGTGACAAGGAATCCAGATAATGTTTTGAATGTGGAAACAGAGGACTGTGATGATCAGGAATCTATTGAAAAATTTCAAGGTGATTTACGACAAATTCTTAATGAAAGAAGGAAGTTGCATGGAGATATTGATGCTGCAATAACTGATGGAAACAATGGGCATCAACAGGTCGCAAAAACTGGAAATAATAGAGGTCCTGTGTTAAAAGAAAACAATATCGAGCAGCAATTAAAATCGCCTGTTGATCGTGCTACTTCAGGTATTAATTTAGGTCGTGGAGGTGTCGACGCTGGTATTCGTATTGATCAACTGAATTCTGCTGGTGATCGAGCTAATATGGAAAAAATAGCAACAGCTGCACAATTGTGTAATGAAGCTAATACTAGTGTGGATATGCAGTCAACTGATGCAGGCTTTAAGGCTATTGTTGATCGACCTGAAGCTTCAGTTATGGGACAGGAAAAGGCTAATGAGGATCGAACTGGTGCAACATTGCAAATTGGGAAGGCTAATAATCCTGCTGCTGCTCGAGGTTCTGCTGGAATTCTTAAAGGTCCAGCTGCTGAGCAAATTATGGAAGATGGGTAATGTCAACAGATGCTGAAAGATAGTGCAAAAGCTGGATTTGATCGAGTTACCACTGCCAAGTATCATGCAGCAATAGCAGTTGTAGGACAAAGTGAAAAATCAAATTTAATAGGTTCAACATTAGAGACTAATGTTGCATTGAATGCAGCTGGTGTGGCACTTGATGCTGGGGTCACTAAGGCTACTATTGCAGTTGAGAAACCAGAAGACTTGAGAGGTACTACTGTGCAAAAGGAGGTGCAAGAACTGGAAGGTGAAGATGCTGGTATGGGTGGTAATTCTATGGTTAAAAGAGCTGGGCATGCACTTAAAGCAGTACATAATACAAATGCAGCAGGCTGGTCGGTCATGCATCGACAAAATGCATCCCAAAATAAAAGGAATGCTCCAGTTCACACAAATCAGGTAAATACACCAAAGGAAGTTAGCACCTCTAAATCTTTTGGTGTTTTGGTGAGGGAATCAGTTATGGATGATACTAGAAAGAGAGTGCAACAACTTGAACGTGAGGCAACTCCAAAAACTAGTCATTCAAAAACACCACACAGTGTAAAACAGAATAAGAAATCAGAAGCAACAGCTGCTCCATTAAATGTCTCAAAAGACATGGTTATAGTCAACAATCCAAAGGCTGTGGAAGTGACAGGAGCACTTGCATTAGAGGAGGATGTTGAAATTAATTCAACAACATTAAAAGATCTTCATTCAAGCCAGCAAATAGTTCCAGTTTCCAGCAGTACCAAACAAGATCGCCCCAATGACAATCTGGTGAAAAATATGGGTGTTCGACGAAATGTTTCAACGGGCAATTTGGGCGAGGTGGTGAAGGGTGTTCGTGTACCTATGTTCATCCCCTCCAAGTTTCACTTTTCTAGTCCTCAAGTGGAGAAAATCATCAAAGACACTCAAGTTTCCATGATGTTGAATGCCAATCCCATGATCAAGCAACCTTTGGTCACTTTGAATACATCGGCGCAAGAAATTCCTTCCCAAAGTGTGGAGTCGTTTGGTGAGAATGCGGAGGACTCTGGACAGTAGCTACTGTCAACAGGCAACAATCAACAACCAAACACAGCTATGGTCTCAATCTCTCAAGCATCAACAAACAAGTTAAGTGGCTCTAAGGATCAACAAGGTGCGACAAGTGCAATTGTTGTTAAACGCAAGACTTGGGCTGAGCGAGTTGAAGAGGAGGAAGAAGATTATACAGATAGTCCAAATGCACCTACTTTTGTACCATCCAAGCAGCAGCAAATTGTAGCAGCTTTGGAGGGTGTTAGTTCGACAATACAAGCTGACAAAGAGGTTGCAAAATCCGGGCAGCAGCGTGCAATAAGCGCAACAGTTTTGTCATCTATGCAGAACATTGATGCTACTGGAAGTTCAAGTGCAATGGCTACAAAGGCTTTGATTTCAGACCAAGACCGGGCACTATTGGATACTTTGGACAGTCCAAAACCTCATAGATATGCATACTCAAATGGCTCAAAAACGACTTCACAAAAGATGAAAGTTTCAGTGGCAAAGGGACATGAACCATGTAGTGCAAAGAGAATGAAGAGGCATGAACCATTATGGATGGTTATACAAGAAGAAGCTAATAAAAAACTAGAGGCCAACTTACGTTTTCCTATTTCCGATGAAGCTACAGAAGTATGAATTGATTGAATCTTGTCCGGAAGAGGCGGCTACAAGTGGAGATTTCTCTCCTAAGCATAGTTAAAAAAAAGAGGTGAATCAAGGAATAACACTCAGACAACTCCCAATGAGAGCTGCAAAGCAAAAAGGGATTGCCCCCTCCACATCTACGAGGTCCAATAGATCGGAGAAGAAATGAAAAATTTTGAAGATATTTTGAAGATAGTTAATGAGGATTTTAAGGAACTTCAAATTGAAGAACTCACAGGTTTGATAAATGAGGGGCAAGACACTAATTACTATATTTTTTTAGTGTGTCATTTTCAAAGCATCATAACTTGTAATAGCGTCATAGAGTGTGTTATAAACTCTATGGAGATCATAGAATACTTGGTACTTTCAAGTTCCTATTTTTTACATGCTTGCTAGAAGATGAGGCTTTTTCTTTGCCTCAATAGGATTAGTAAGGTAAGGTCCATGCCCCCCTTACATGTACTCTTCCTTTGTGGTTTTGTTTTATTATTATTAATAAAAAACTACTAGGCACTCCTAGTAGTATAATTGGCCAAAAAAAACCCTAAACCCAAAAAACCCCAAAACGCTATGTTCTCTCTCCTCCAAAAAAGCGACTTTGGGCGATCAAGGAGAGACCACCG